ATAGGAACAGAGCAGTCAAAAACCCACGCAACCGAGAAAAAATTGAATATCTCTGCTATAACTCAACCAAACGGGCTGATTTTTTTACCAATAATAGAGGTATGTTTGCACTTTAAATTTATACAGACATGATTAGAAAAAGCCTTTGTTAAGTATCACTAATAATCTCCACAAAAAAAATTTACTTTTTCATAGATAGGAAAAGAAAACAATATACTTAAGAAAGGATCTCTCTAGACATGCCTTTATGTATATAAAGCTTGGGCATGTCTCTACCATTGATAAAAATATCAGCTTGTTCGCTCGAGCCAAAATGGAGATATTCAATTTTTTTCTCGGTTGTGTGGGTTTTTTGGGTCATCCTGACAAGTGAGGCTGTCGAAAAAGAATTCAATGTCTCCATTACAACTCAAGCAAACGAGCTGATATTTTTATCAATGGTAGAGCCATGTTCAAGCTTTATATACATAAAGACATGTCTAGAGAGATCCTTTGCTAAGGATGTTGTTTTCTTTTCTTATCCATGAAAAAGTAAAATTTTTTTTGTTGAAATCACTAGTGATACTTAACAAAGGTCTCTCTAAGCATGTCTTTATGGATATGAACTTTGAACATGTCTCTATCATTGACAAAAAAATCAGCCCGTTTACTCAAGCTGCAATGGAGATATTTTAGTTTCTTATCGCCGTGTTATTTATGACCCACCCTGTATATATAGAAAGTTAATGACACTATCTCAAACAAAAAATAGTCAGATATAACTATCAATGCTAAGCAAATCTGGCTCATGAATTGCAACCGAATGTATTAGACTTGTAACCGGTTAATTCTTTTAAAAGTACTCACTTTCAGTCGATGGAGATACTTTAGATGCAGAAAAAACATGAATCCACCGTTTTGTTGTTGCTTTGTTTTGTGTCATCGTTCGCTTACTATCAGTTGTTGAGAATGAGTGTAGAAAACAGTTTATGATTTCTACTTTTATTATACCGATATTTTATTACAGGCAATTGTTATTCTCATTGTCGTTCTTTATTTTATTGATGCAGGACCCTGGAGAATCAAGTGACTCTACTTATTTTGATAAATAAAGCAACGTTTCTAATGACAATTTCGAGTAGAATGGGTGTGCGTGTGGTTGAACTGAAGACTCAAACACACCGACACCCATACCCGCATCCTCACCGACACCCACCCACACCCTACCTATATAAAAATGACAATATACTGCATTACATAGAACCAAAACGTCATGCCCGGCGAATAACAACATGATCGATATTCCAATACAATTCAATCTTCATCAATGAACATTCAACTATCCCATTGAATGTATGTACAACTTTTTTTTCTTTATTCAACTAAAACCTTATATACTACTGATATATGCTCAATCCGAGAGGTATGCACGAAACTCGCTGTTCTATGCTCTTCTCAATTACAAACTTTCTAGAGGTTAGTAGCAGCAATCTGACGGCTGAGAATGCCACGAAATTTGAAGATTACAATTCAGCAACCATGTCACTAGTTGAGAGTACAGTGAAGTTCTTCACCTATACAATAAGAGACACTGAAACTACTGTCAAACAATTATTTACATATCTTACCTGTTGTATTATACTTGAGCAAGGACGAAGTCGATCGTGGTACGCTCAGTTCTGCATTGATTGAAATAGTGTAAATTATCTTGGTAGTTATGTTCTAGTATTTGAAGTAGAAAATTTTGCATATTTTTAAAAACACGTTTTTTCTCGAAAAACGACACCTTTCGAGTATTTCGTATTTTTCGACTGGAAGAAAGCATTTGCTAAAGTTAAAAAGTAGATTTTCGTGATCAGTAGCTCTCTCCCTATCAAATGACGTAAAAAACGGCAAAAACAAATTGTACTCGAAATCCGCCTTGCGTGTATCTTACAAACCATCTCGCTTTTATGCATCATTTGTAAAAAAAACAAAGCACAAGGATAGTTTTATATGTCAACAATATATTTATGGGTGAATCGTATTTCATTTGCACAATTGCATCGTTGGTACTAAATCATGAGTATCTCTTGTTCAAAAGCTTTGAATGACTTGAAAATTTAACACAATACTGCTCTCGGTGTTTTCCTACACTTCTGAAATTTTGAGCAGTCTACATCACTCCTATCTTGAGTTAGCCTGTTGGAAACGAAAAAAAAGTAAAAATTGAAGTCATCTCTCGATGAAGACAAAAAACTTTTTCCATTGCGCAAAGTTTAAGCTCGCATTTTCCTCAGTGTAGTTCGGTAGAAAAAAGTGCAGAGAATCAGAATCTGACCTTAGCTTTCTTTAAAAAAAGGGTGGAGTATAGGTGTGGGTGTTAATACTTTACCGACACCGACACTCCCACCCACATTTACACTCACTCTGAACTATATCGTAATATTCTTAAATTTGTGATCTTTATGAAAGCGTACTTTTAGCATGTTCAACAGAACTTGATTTATTGAGATTACACAGACCGATGTTAGTAGATAGAATGCTTACGAAATTCAGATTAGAACGAACAACAATGCAGATCTGCACCATCGGATAATATTTTAAGAGTACCACGATTCATCTATATTTTTAGATTTTCATAATTGTCTGAATTTACGTATTGCAGAATATAATCCGAATATATGGACTTTCATTGGATGTGTGCAAAGAGAAAATGATATATGATCTTGAAGCTAGATAAAAAACGACTACAAAAAAAGAACACAATATGACAACGTATAAATACGTCATGTGATCTTTTTCAAAATAACAATATTACTGTTGTCGGCTTCTTAAAGAAATTGTCCTATATAGTCGTGAAAATATTCCATGGAAAAGAAAAACATGATATCACTTTCATTAATAGCTCGAGTATTTCGTTAGTTTATTTATCATTTCAATTACACGATGAATGACTCTGTTCTCGTAGTTTTCTATTCAGTAAATTGCTGAATGATTGGCCATGATTTTTGCATTGTTTTAATATTGTTCTTTCCTTCTTTTTTCTCTTTTCTACCTTTTTTGCTTCGTCATTTTTTCTTTCTGCCTTTTTCCACCACATCACAATGTCTTTATCATCATCAAAAACACGTTGCACTTCAAATGATTGTAAAAATGTGGGCATTTTAAAATGTGAAGGTTGTTCACAAACATTCTGTCGAACACATGTTATCGAACATCGAGATTTTCTTAGTCACCAATTAGATGGTGTTGTTCTCGAACATGATACTTTGCAACAAATGGTTATGGAGCAGGAAAACAAAGAAAATGATTATCATTCTCTTTTCAAACAAATTGATAAATGGGAACAAGATTCTATAACAAAAATTCAACAAACGGCAAATGAAGTACGACAAGAAATAGAAACATTAATTGGTTCACAAAGAGGTAAGTATAGTCGATTTAGAGGGATTTCTTTTCTCTTAGCTATTAATTTTATTTTTAGAACATATATCAAAAGAATTACATGATCTCGCTAAACAATTACGAAAAGCTCGAGAAGATGATGATTTTATTGAAACTGATCTTCGTATATGGACGGACATATTAGAAAAACTTAAACATGATGTTTATAAAGTTTCATCTTCGATGACTGTTAGTGAAGATCCTACAAAACTACTGGTAGCTAAAATATTTATTTCTTCAAGTGTATCACAATATTTAGAAATAGATGAACGACTTGAAAAATCTATTGGTAATGTTTGCATTACAGAGAATGGTCATCTAGCTCATCGCCTTGGTCTAGAAAGAGAACGTACATTTGTCATCGGAAAGCACGAATATTCATCAGGCAAATATAAGATTCGATTTGTTATGAATAAGAAAAATTCAAAATTTGTTATGTCGTTTAATATTATTTCAAAATATACTCGCATACAACAACATGAATTTGAATTATCGAAATCAAGTTACGGTTGGTATAGCGATGGTGATACTTGTGGCGGTGTTGAATTGCCATCGAATAAAAATAAATATAGTATGGAAAGTGAAACGACATCTGAAATCGAATTTTTACTCGATTGTGATAATCAAAAAATTGGCTATTTTAATGAACGAACAAAAAATCGGCGAGAAATGAAAATTAATCTTACAAAGTGTCCACTTCCTTGGAAATTACTTTTTTATTTATACGATGTTGAAGATTCTGTTCGACTTTTATCTTCAAAACAATTACTTTGAATATCAATTCTGATATTACTATTCATCTTTACAGAAATTCTATTGTTTTAAAATAAGAACAATTAACTGTTCATGAATATATTCTCATCTTATTTGATCAAAAATAAACATAATTATGTATAACTTTGAACTTTAGTTTGTGAAAATAACTGATGTGAAGACCATCGATCTTTAGAGTCGAGCTTTGATCATTTTGCTGAATCTTCGATGAAGCTTGACATACTTCTCGAAAAACTAAATCATGAATTTTGAATTTGAAGTTTTGTCCATAGATAGATCCAGTAATGCCTGCAAAATTTCATGTCGAAATTCGGTTATTTGAGGTTTTGGTAGATATCCCTAGCTGAATCGAAAATTGAGTAGAATGATTGTAATTCATTTCCAAAGGCTCACAGTTATGAACCTTTTTAGAGTTTTTGTATTCGTATCGCTAGCTGAATATAAGGTCAAGTGGCAGGTATCAGGTCGATTTTGTTCTTTCTAAGATTAAAATCTTCATACTGTGAGATAAGTAAAGCTTGAAAAATGAAGAGTAATAAAATATATGGACTAATTTTTCGAAAACATCAGGTAATAGAGATGAGACATATGAAGGAATAATATCCAGCATATTTTGAAATTATTGGTTTTGAATGTCTAACAAAATAAGGATGCTTCTGATCTTTTCAAAGACTCTTTCAGTACTATCGTTTTGAAACTCTAAAACAGTAGTAGAAAATGACAAACATATATATCGAAAAAATACACATATGTTTATTATCAACCAGACAGAAAATATCTATTGTTAATAATAGTATGTTTAATGTAACAGTCTAATATAAAAACTAAAGAGATTCGACAGAGTTTCTAATCTTATAAGCAACGGTACAAGTGAAACTTCTTTTAAACTGATACCTGTCTCGCTATATACGATATTTAGAACATCATTTCTATTCGATAGTTTCATCATTTATGCAAAACTTGATTTATTTATTTATTTGAAATGAAAATTCTTGTATATTAAACAATATTTGAATATATTTATTAATGTATATTTTCTTTTCGAAAAAAACAATGAACCTATAAATTGTTTGTGATCATCTAGTTTGTCATTCAATCCAATCAAAAGTCTCGAATATTCAATTTAGTTTTTATCATGAACAGCTTTTCCAAAGTTTAAAGTAGATTGTTAAATTAATAGTATTTTGTCTGTAAAATTATTCCAAATTGTTAAATACAGATAGCAATATATTACTCAATATTGTTGCTCATTCATATTGAAAAAATACACGTAATGTAAAATTTATTAATACTCAGTATCGGTACGAATTTCAAAATGAATGACTCGTGACTGATTCATCTTATTAGTTTTCTTTCTCTAGCATCTTATGAAGGATGTGTAATGAAACTTTGCTTAAGATTGACGTTGTTAAAGATCCTTATCTTCAGATGAAATAATGCAACACAGTATTATTATGAGTTTTAGATTGATCAGGCCTACTCGGATGAGTATTAAAAAGCTCTGACAGGTTCTATATCTGGTCTTTACTCATTGTTTTATATTCCAATGGAATAAAGCATTTAAAGATTATATTTCTTCTACACCAAACTTTCATTTAGAAAATGTTATATTTTTTCCACAAAAGTTGAATCATTCTTTTTCTGTCCAGCATTGATCATAAGAAGTTTTCATTTGATGAGTTTATCGTAAAAGTTTTATAGAAAAGGATAAACCTTTCAGATGAGAAATTAAAATTTCAGATTTCAAAGCAATACAGACTCTACCAACCACACCGATACTAATACCTGCATCTTTCAAGATCCCATTAGGGCTACATAACTTTTACGTTATTGAGTATTCTCGGAAAAGGAAGTGACCAAAAAAGCTGAATGTCCTTACATGGACTTCTTTCAAGGAGAGTCTTATTCATCAAATATTAATATTGACTCACTGGTAACCAAATGATAAGAGAATATTGTATTCGAACATAAACAACGAAAAGGCAAGAAGAAAAATAACAGAAACATCTTTTTCTCTATTGATATGAAAAGATAACTTCTTTCAACCTTTAAATTTGTTTATTTTTAAACAAAGTTCTTCGACATATATATATATATATATATTGACATTACATTTTTGTTGTATAACAACACTATTCGCTTCACTATAATATAATTACATTTCACATTCGATGGGCAATGAATCATCAGTTCAAAGCATTGAAGACAGACAATCTGTAAAAACAAATGATGATGAAAATAAAGAAAGTATAACACTTATTTGGTTTGATCCAAATATTGGATCGAACGAAGATCCTAAAAAACTAAAACAAACATTGCGTCATATAAATGATTATGTCATTTTTGCTAGTGATCGTGAGCAATGTATTACATTTATTGAATCAATTCATCAAGAAAGAATTTTTTTAATTACTTCAAGATCAAAGGCATTACAAATTTTACCTCGAGTTTCTTCGCTCCGTCAAATTGATTCAATTTTTATATTTTCTATGGAAAAAAGTCAAGATGATTATTTATTAAATAATTATTCAAAAATTATTGGAATTTATATTAATCTTGATGATTTATGTAGAGTAATAAAAGAACAAATTAATCTTGTTGATAGACAAATACAAACTTTTTCATTTTTTGATCAATATCAAAAATTAACTGAAGATTTATCCAAAGATTCAACGGAATTCATTTGGTTTCAATTATTTAATTATATACTCTCTACTCTGTTACGAGATCAACAAGCTAAACAACAAATGATTCAAATATGTAAAGATTATTATCATGGAAATAGAAAAGAAATAGAATTAATTCATCAATTTGAGCAAAACTATCGATCTAAAGATGCACTTCTTTGGTATTCAAAACGATCATTTATTTATAAATTAATTAATAAAGCTTTACGAACTAAAGATATTGATTTATTACATAAACTTCGATTTTTTATTCGAGATCTTTCTGAAAATCTTCAACGTGAACATGAAAAAATTTTATTTTCAAACGAAACAACTTTAAATGTTTATCGAGGAATTAAACTTAGCAAAGAAGAATTTGATAAAATAAAACAAAATCAAGGAAAACTTATTTCAACAAATGGATATTTCTCAACTAGTCGACTAAAATCATTTGCATCAAATTTTGCACAAAAATCAACAAAAAGAACAACTGATCGTGTTTCTATTCTTTTTCATATTCAATGTGATATTAAACATATTGATAAAAATATAACTTTTGTTGATATTGATCAATATAGTGATTATCCATATGAACAAGAAGTTTTATTTGATTTAAATACTTGTTTTCAAATTGAATCTATACAAGAAAATGAATCAATACAAATAATTAAAATGAATCTTTCAAATGAAGGACAAAAAATGACTAAAGATTACATTGAATTAATACAAAAAGAAACAGAAGGAATGAATATTTCAATTATTTTTGGAAGATTATTAAATGATTTAGGTGAATATGATAAATCACAAAAATATTTTCAACAATTATTATGCAATAATACTCGAAATGAGGATCATGCTTGGATTGAATTTAATATTGGTGAAGCTCTTTATTGTAAAGGTGAATGGAATCTAGCTCGAGAATATTATGATTATGCATATGATCGAATGATGAAGAGTAAACCAGCACGAATAAAAGGTTCTGCTCGTGTTCTCAATAATATTGGTACTATTCTTGATAATGAAGGAAAATATGATGAAGCTCTCGATTATTATCAACGATCATTAAAACTTATCGAGGAATTTTATCCATTTTGTCATGCCGATATTGTTACAAGTCTCGAAAATATTGGTCTAGTTTTCTGTAAACAAGAAAAATATGATCAAGCTCTTGATTATCATAAACAAGCATTAGAAATTCAACAGAAACTTTATTCATCTATTCATATCAACGTTGCTACAAGCCTCAATTACATTAGTATCATTCTTCGTAATCAACAAAAATATGATGAAGCTCTGAATTATAATCAACAAGCATTAAAAACTCAACAGATACTTTATCCATTTGGTCATGTGAAAATAGCTTATAGCTTCAATAACATTGGTACTATTCTTTATGATCAAGAAAAGTATAATGAAGCATTCGATTATTTTCAGCAAGCATTGAAAATTCTGGAGAAATTTTATCCATCTAGTCATGAGACCATTGCTACAAATCTCAATAACATTGGTATGGTTCTTCGTAATCAAAGAAAATACGATGAAGCTCTAAATTATCATCAAAAAGTATTGGCAATTCTACAGAAATTGTATCCAATTGGTCATGAGGATATTGTTCATACCCTTAACAATATTGGTGAGATTCAGTATTGTAAAGAAAAGTATGATGTAGCTCTCTATTATTATCGACAAGCATTGAAAATTCAAGAGAATCTTTATCCAACTGGTCATATTGACCTTGTTGGAAATTTTAGCAAAATTGGTGTTATTCTCAATATTCAAGGAAAATACGCCGAAGCTCTCGATTATCATCGACGCGCATTCAAACTTCAACAAGAATTTTATCCATTGGGTCATGTTAATATGGCTTATAACTTCAAACACATAGGTGATATTCATTTTGATCAAGAAAAGTACGATATAGCTCTGTACTACTATCAACAAGCATTAAAAATTCGTGAAAAATTCTATCCATCAGTTCATGTAGACATCGCCTCCAGTTTGAATAATATTGGCCTTTGTTATGAAAATCAAAACAAGCAAAATCTAGCACTTGAATACTATCAACGTGCATTAACTATTTATGAAAAATTTCTTCCTGTTCACGATTCAAATCGTCATAGAACTGAGCATAGAATCCTTGAACTAACTAGAAAAGCTTGAAACTTACTTGATGGGCATAGTTAGAAATCAAATTTTGATAACTGTGTAAAAGATTTTGTTTTTGGTAATTGTGCACATTCGATGTTTCTCATATCATAGATTTTAATAAGCGGTAAGTGTTAGATTGAATTTTGTTTTGTAAATAATAATCAAGATCCATAGAAAAACTTTATGAACGAATTACTGTCACTTATCAATCAATATGAATTTATTTTGATTTGTCTAAAAGAATTCATATTATCGAAAGTCAAACTTTCTTTTATTCGAGTTGAGAAAGACTTTTCGACAAATTTCATTTGAATAATATGTATTTTGAATTTTATTAAACTTTTTAAGTTAAATTCGTTATGAATTTGAAGAAATCTTAGAATAAATTGCGAGAAATTTTTCTATGTGAAATTTATTGTTAACTGTGTATAAAACGATAAAAGAAATAAGAAGAAGCTTATGTATTAACGCGATGAGTGTTTTGTGATATTGTGAATATACGAAAAACCATCAATAACCTACCCGAAATTTATATCTGTATCGTGTTCAATTGTCAACCAACATAGTTTATTCAAATAAATCAACTGATGGATAGCTAATACCAATCGGTAATGATAACGATGATGTGAAGCATTTTGAAAGCTTTAGTGATAGTGAAAAAGATTGTGGTGATTGATAATTTAATGGAAGATTAGTATGGGTATAGGTAGAGGTGTAAGCCGCGCCGCCGACGATCTTTGTTCACTTGTACAGAGCCGACGTCCAGCCGTCACCGTGGTGCAAGGAAACAAAGAACCGTCGGCGGCGCGGCTTACACCTCTAGGTATAGGTATGGATGGGGTGTGGGTGTTAATCTGGAATTTATTCAAACCTAAGGTGTGGGTGGATGTGGGTGTGACTCTTCTGCCCACCCAAATCCACGCCCACACCCTAGGTATCAGTTTTTTATTTTTGTTTTTCTTTTGGATAATATGGAGGGTGGTAAGTCCTTCTATGATCTTTTTTATGTATTGTTTTTTTTCATTTTAGGTATTGGACAGTGAAGAAAAAGATAACAGGTGGAGTAAGTCATCTCGTTCTTTTTCATTACATAGCATTAATTAAATTTTTTTTCTTTTCTTTTTAGTACTCAATATCATCGCGTCATCATCATCAACAACGTCATCATTCAATGCCAAACACGGTAATTTTTTTTTCTTTTTTTGTGATGAGAATAAGGAAGAGGCAGATTGAGGAGGGTGAGTTCTCTCCCTTGAATGTTAGGGTTTCGTCTTCTATGAAGGACTTCCGGGTAGTCCCTAAAAGCTGGACCAGGAACCGTCTTGGTGTCCGTGGCACACGACCGGGCCTCTCAGACTCATTGACATATCTCTCGAGTGGGAGGGATATGAATGATTTGAGTCTGTCCCGTGCGTGCATGAGCGTTACGCTCGCCACGGCTCCGCCAGGATGGTTCCTGATCGCGCGTGCACGAATAGAACAGACATTCATTTCATCAATTCAACGTGATTTATTTGAAACGAAAGGAAAGAAAAGAAATAATTCATCACTTTGAGTCTATTCAATTGAAAAGCGTTGAACACGATGATTATAATGATCGACGACATAGAGATTGCCATGTCGATCGAAGGACAAACCCCAGGGACCGTTGAACTGATTTGCTCCTGCTCCTTTACCATTTCCATCCACAATGACAATGCCCTGTTTTGCTTCTTTAGGCCAACGCATTACTCGATTATTCCCCAGTTCTGTCACATAGATGGTACCAGTATATCGACGAACAGTTCGTAAGGAGACGACAATGGTGTCAGAGCATTCTCTTCGCCCTGACCTCCAGCGATGACAATTCCCTCTTTTGCACCTTTCTTCCATTTCATTACACGATGATTGTTCCATTCTGACACGTAGACAGTCTGTTGTTGATCGACAAAGATGTATCTCGGAGAGCTGAGTTGATTGAGACCAGCACCATCGCCATTGCCACCAACAACGATAGTTCCATTCTTGTCTCCTATTTGATATCGTCTTACTTCATGTTTGTCGTAGTCAGAGATGTAGAGATATCTCTGATCATCTATGACTAATCCAAAACAATCAATGTTGTCGATGAGGATTTCTCCTTGAGTTGTACCACTACGACGAGACCATCGTACGACTCGTGGATTTCCTCGATCACAAACAATGAGACTATCCGTCTCTTTGTCTATCAACACATCGGCTGGACCATTCAATTGATCCAATCGATTTCCTTGGCCAATGCCACCAGCTACTACTTGTCCATTCTTATCATCCATCTTCCATTGGATGATACGATAATTCCGGTAGTCAGCGATGACAATCGTTTGATCATCATCAACGAAGAGACTTTTAGGCTCGTTCAGCTGATTGGTGGCACTGCCTTTTCCATGGCCTCCAGCAACAGTCACTCCATTCTGTTTCCATTGGGCATTTGCTGGAATATTAGGAATTACTACAATGAACGAAAAAGAAAAGGAATCATCGTTGTCGAAGGGATCTCGTCTCTTGTTGGAGAAAGCGCTACAAATATGACATTCATCTTTGAGAATGTTCTTTCCTCAGATAAAAATTCAGAAACCTTTTCCTAGTTTCCTATGAAAAACAAAAGAATTTCGTAACGTTTCTTACATCTATGTCACTTTTAGTTTTTACCAAGATTTTTTTCAAATAAAAAACTACACCTGGAGATTACTGTAAGGAGATCCTCGAAGAAAGAGCAATGCTAATTCCATACTACGCCTCTTTTCCCACCAATATAATCAGGTGAGCTAGATTTGGTAGAGTTATTTTGAAAATTTTGGTGACTTGATACATTGAAATGATCTTGAATTTTCGCCGATTTCGTGCTTTGGGAGATTTCACTTCGGAAAAACTTCATGCTCAACAGATGTATCAATATGAATCATTTTAGCTCTAGAAGTCTGGCAAACTGCTTCTATATTTTATCCAAAGATATTCCACTCTCCCAAAAGTGACCATACCAAGAGAGTTCCTTTCATGCGATCGAAAAATCGATGTCGCTAGTGAAGCATCTAGTGATTTTTCTAAACCTATTGATGAGAATTGATTAGGATTTTCTGGATTTCATGGCGAAGGGACAAGTTTCGCTTGGCGTGTACAGAAAATTTACGGGATAAAATTCCCCCAAATAAACGAAAACTCTGTTAGAACTCAAAATAGTGAGGATAGAAGAATGAATTTGATTGAGCGAGAAGAAGATGCCTACCCTCAGAAAATCACTGATTACATACCTCGTGAATATTCGAATTGCGTGTCGTAGTCAACAAATAGTTTAATGCTATCGAGCCAGCTGTTGTTAAGGAAAGTTTTATTAGGTTGTGCTTTGAATCTAATCAAAATCTCCAGTTTTTGTATGTTTTTATGCAGTGCCATTGCGATGCTGCTTCCAATCAAGCCTTTTTTAAAACGAGAAGGTGTCATGTTGATTGCTAGCATTTATAAACTTACTCAAATTTCTTTGAAGAAGAATTTCTTCGCCGCTGTTCATTGTTGTGAGCTGTATTGATACATCTTTTCCCATGTGTGATTCGAAGAGGACTTTTGAGAACGGTCACAGATCAGAATTCCAAACATTGGCTATTTGGATGTATCGTAACATGATTGCACCCATGTCATAGGATAGTAAAGAGAAGTGACACTCATTGCTAGTGTCACCTGTAGTTACTGCACCAGTTTGTAGTTTCCAATGATTGATAAGAGATAGGTTACAACCAACTAGGCTATCATTAATCAAATTCGAATCATGACCACGTGTTCTATTAGGAAATAAAGTGTCTCTAGTTGAGAGAGCGCTCGATGGTGGGCTGTCTTCTATCGTAGCATCAGTAAAATCGGCTTCACACAGGTTGCTTTGATTAAAATCAACTTTGGTCACTTGAGCATCTTTGAAGACAGCTCTTTTGGCCTTTGCATGTAAAAATGTTGACCCTGATATTTTGACATGACTGAAGTCTGCGACACGGCAGTTACTTTGCTCAAATATTGTTTGAATAATCTTTGCATAGCTGAAATCAGTCAACCCTAAACGTACAGTGGGGAAATATATGTGTAAAACTACTTAGAATAGATTCTTGGTTACCTAGCATGGCCGAGTGAAATTGCAAATATTGAAGCGTACTAGATTTGAACGTTACATCGTAGAACCGCGCAAATGAGAAGCGGACATTGCTGAGATTAGCAGATGAAAAGTTAACTTTTTCGAATTGAGTAGATGAAAAGTCAACATCTTGCACATGTGTATTGTTGAGCTCACAATCTCGCAAAATGACACCAATCAAGGATAAGATTCCAATTTTGGTTGCAGTTTTGAAGGCGCTTCTGTCGATGCCAATCAGTTCTATTGTTGAAATATCCAATGGATTACTTTGATTTGTGTTACTTAGCTGTCCAGCTTCGTAGAGAAAACGAATGATACGTGCCATACGTAGACTATCAAGTTGTCCTATTGCATCGAATGTTTTTGCACGAACCAATGCAGAAATGATATGACTTGATGCTAGTGTACCATTTACTGTTTCCAAAAGCTTACCTATATTCTCGATATAGGTGGAAAATAATTCCTGTTGATATCGTTGAGCTGCCATGTGTTTCTGAAGTTCATTTTGTACATTTGCAATGTCCAATTCTTGCTGCCGTAGCAATACGTCTCTTTCATGCTGTCTCATGGCTTCTTTTTGTTGATTAGTGGTACTTATTACGGTGAAGATGCCAAGCACAAGAGGAAGAATCAGTGAAGAAGTCAATTTGAGAACATCTTTCAATGTCAAACCATAGAAATTGCGATTAGAACTGTGTTGTCTGCTCGTTTGTGTTGCTTGGTGTCGAAAATCTATTCTGTGCTTTTTGAACGATGTACAGCAATCGATTAGTATTTATGAAATGACTTGATAATCTAGAATCAGGTGTATACAGAACGTGTTTTTCGCATGAATTATATATGTCATCATGATAATGCTATCATACTGAGTCTTTAA